CATGTACTGTAATTACATTAGCAGCACAGGCATTTCACTTAGTTGACTTGTCTAACAGGATTATGGTGTTTTAAATATGTAGATTGTTCTAAATTGTTCAATTGTAGAATGCTTGGTATTAAAGTAAATCTCGGTGAATGGGTTCAAAGGTAGGTGAATCACTTTAAAAAACACAACAAGCCATGTGCACTTCAAATATTCTAGTGTTTCACCTGTAAGGTATTGTTTCAAGCAAACAAGACTAACAGAACATATGGCTTTACAGTAACATCAATTTGTCACCTAAGTTGTAGTAATAAATACTTAAAATCTCTACCAATAGACTTACATTTTTGATCTGATTTAAACAATACAGAAAACAATTACCAATTAAAAACCTGTTGTAAAATGCTGAACACCAAAAATTCTTATTTAAATCACTTTCGTAAGCTAAAACAACCAAAATAACATTTATAGGGCATTTCAGTTCTACAATTCTTCGCCAACCTGGAAGAAACATGAATTTTTTAATTTTATTTTTACAAGGTGAAAAAATGTATGAAAACTGCTAAATACTTTGGTCACACTAATTGTCAAATAGTTATGTCTCAAATACATTAGATTTGTGTATTCACTTTTTTATAAAACTATTCTTACAGCCATTTTAACTATAGTATCACTACTATCATTACCTGGGTGGCAAGATCTTATTTCACAGGCCACCCATTATTTAGAACAATACAATATAAACATACGCAAAAAGTATTGGTATTTCTCAATGTGCAATTTTTTTACACTTATGAATTTCTGTACAATGTCTTAAAATCTAGAATATAAATGTTGCTGGTCCTGATCCCTTGCGAAATTAGTGCAGCAGTGACTGGCTTTGACAGGCTCTAGATGAAATCCTTGAGAAACACTAAACCCCCTGGATATCAGTTCGTGTTCTTCAGCCAACAGCAGCAGACATCACATATCATACAGGGCCATTAACAGCTGCCTCTCCTAAAAGGGTTTGTTGATCAGTCCTAAGAAGTCAAAAGGAGAAGGATAAGTGTATAAGAAACCAATGCACGCTTATAAAATCACTACAATCAAGTTTGGGGGTCAAAGCAAGAACATGGACTTCCAAAGCCTTGTCAAAATATACTAATTTAGAATTGGGGTCATGGCAAAGAGACAATGCATCCATAACACTGAAACAAAATAAAAAACACACCCTGCTATGCCCTATTTTCATTTTCTTGTTAATCACAGAAGTAGATTAGCAGCTCTACTCTAGTTAAGGTTAAGACCAGCTTTCTGTTTAAAGGTTCCTTTTCTAACTGCTCTAAAATCTACATGGTTACTGGGATTGCCTTGAAATTTGGTATGTTTAGTGGGGCTGTAGGGTTCTGTTATTGATCCAAATTTGGGGCCATCTGATCAAGGGGGTTCCCAAGATAGAACACCTGGAAGAAAACAACTTTACTTGAAATTGACAGATTCTTGCCACCTAATTTTGCTCATAGACAGATCAAGCCAGGGCCTAGATCATTGCATGAGGGTGTTAAATGTGTGAGGGTTACCCCCAAAAGAATGCGTGACACCTACCACCCCTTTGGGGGAAATCAAATTAAAACATTATACAAAAAACTCTGGTTATGTACATGAGACGGCTTGCACACCTATTTGTGTTCCTAGTGGATTATACTGAGCATGTGCAGCGTGAGAGGCTAACTGTCTGGAAAACTACCGCTACAACATAAGACCTGGGTGGCTCTGGCGATGTGTTACGGTCATAAAATCTGAACACCAGCCCAAAAATAAAAACAGGTACATAGTTCCAATCTACCTCTATCACAGGGGAAATTTTATTTTGGGGGAATGTAATCTGAGCACAGCAGATCATTCAGGAGGTGTTGAAGTTAGTTTCTGAAAATAAACCACACAAGCTATTGCTCACCAGGAGGGGAAGTGATTAGGGGTTGGAGAATAGGTGGGAATGGGGAGAGAGGAAGTAAGTGAGACACGAGGAAAGGAGACTGGGAGTGACAGACAAGGGGAGAGGAGAATGGGGCAGGGGCACGTGTGCTCACCACACTCTGGGGACCCCCCCCCTTCCCAGGCCCCCTCAAGTGAGCCGGTTCGGGGTGCTTGCTCTTCTGGGGGTTTGAGCCCTGACCACCGTGAGCTGGGATTAAGGGTCTGTTCTGGTAATGTCTGAGCCCCAATCCCTGTGCCTCCAGGTGTGTGGCAGAAGCTGGGGGCTCCTGCCCACCAATGGGGTTCTCACCTTCATCCCTGTCCCCCCACCCCAATGCGAGCCAGACTCTGGGGAAGCCCTGCCCCCCTCTGGCTAGGGAGCTAAGAACAGGGATGCCATAAGCATGCACCCAGAACATTCTGTTGACACTGGGGTGAGCAGCTAAGAAGAGGTAAGACCAACACATCAGAAATTCTCCACACCTACAGCACTGCAGCAACGCAGTTGTACCGATGCAGCTGCGCTGCAGCAGCACGTCTGGTGAAAAAGCAGAATAAAATCACCTCCGTGAACGGCTGAAGCTATGTTGTTGGGAGAAGCTCTCCTGCCAACATAGCACTGTGCACGAGTGCTTATGTCGGTGTAACTTAGGTCGCTCAGGGGGGGTGGTTTATTCACACCCGAGCAAAGTAAGTTATGCTGACAAACTGTAGTGTAGGCTTAGCCTTAGGCTTTGTCTAACGTTCTGAAAGGCACAGGCTATCACTGAGCAACCTTAAATCCCCATTAGCAAAGGTTTTGCCATTTAATTACTCCCACTAATTATATTTAGCACTTTAATGAAGACAACTGATGAAGTAAGCACAGCTAATAGAAGTTGCATTTGGTCTTTAACAAAAGGCAACTGGCTTCAGTCACTGATGGAACGCACATAACAGTAGTGATATTGTAAGGTACAGCGTCTCCTCACAAAGTACGTTTCTATTTCCTTTAGAGAGTTCCTCTGCTTCTCATTCTGTACTAGGTGTATTAGGGCTTCAGCTTGCCAAAATATTACTTAAGTACATCTCACATCAATTATTTTTCATATATAAGTAATATTTGCAGAGTCAAAAAGTACAAAGTAAATAAATGCAATGTTTTTAAAAACTGTGCTGTGTGCTAATCTGACCTAGGAGCTGCTGTTTTAGGAGCATTCTGAATTTCATTCACTCCACTATGGTAAAAGGATCAGGAACAGTTTGGGGGCAAGGAGGGAAGAAAGTAAAAAGCAGAAAAAAAAAAGCAAAAGCCCTATTATGGCAAGAACAGTTTTAGTGTAAACATTCTCCCTGCTAATTCAGGCAATACAAAAAAATCCACCCCACTTTCATCCAGTGCGATAACTAATCCACTGAAAGCTTGTCAAGAATTTTTTTTAAACGGGAAAATAAATGACCATTCTGCACAGCACACAAAGAAAAATTACCTGTAACGCTTGTTCTCTGGTGGTGTACAATCACAGAGAAGCCACACTCTTGGGTCCGTGCTCTACATGCACATGACCAGTAGGAGTCCCCTAGCTAAGTCTTTGGCTGCCAATCACTAAAAACATTTTTTAAAAAAAATCTATACATTAGAGAAGGGACAGACCGCACTAGATAGAAAATTATCATCAACTTTTCAGGAAAAATCTGGGAGGTAAAATAGAAAAAAACAAGATGGGCAAGAGTCTGTTCTACACAGTCATCACAGCTGTAGCAGTGACCTTCACTAATTGATTGAAAAACTAACCACTGGGACATTCTGGGACTCCTAGCACAGACCTATTATTGACTTGGGGGGGGGGGCGCATGACTTACCTAGGGGACTCCCACCAACTATAGGTCTATCTACGTATTTATATTGCACTTGTGATGAATCTGATGAAAACTACTGTGACTGCCACCTTTAGAGAGAGTATTTTAAAATACCTTGTCCATTCTAAAATTTGTCATTAGAGGCCAAAAAGCGATTTAGAAACAAGGATATCTAAAACAAAACATTTACTGAAATCAGCAACAATGCAAAGAATTGCTAGCTTTGAGAGCCCTCTTCTGGTTTATGCTGGTAATTCTTTATTCACAGGCTAATACTGTGTGTCTTGGCAAACATCTGACAAGCTTTGCAAAGCTATTTTTAAAATGGTGCAGCATTACAGCATTTCAGTTTTTACATTTCAGATAAACAGTTGGAAATCAAAGAAATGTTCAAAACTTAAAATCTACTAAGAGTGCATGTAAAGGTCAAATAGTTGAGGGTTTTTTTGTTGTTTGTTTTTAAACACCCACAGTGGAGTGTAAAAGAGAACCCCTACATGTGTTATTTACTCTTCTTATATATAAAATATTTATAAAAGTAAAAAATCGCAACTCAATAAAAAACACAGTTACCCACCTTTTGTAACTGTGGCTGTTTGAGATGTGTTGCTCATGTCCATTCCATTCATCAGAGATCTTTGCCTTAGCAGTATCCGTAGGGCCGGCTGTGTTGCCCCCTTGAGTGCCGCATTCATGCGCTGGTATATCAAGCACTGCCGGCCCTATGCCCTCTCGGGTCCTTCTTGCCAACAATACAACAGAGGGGCAGGAGGGGGGCTAATGGAATGGACAAGAGCAACACATCTCGAAGAACACTTACAAAAGGTGGGTAACCGCTTTTTCTTCAAGGGCCGACGTTATAGCGATCAAAAAGGGAGACCTTCCAGGACAGGAGGAGGAGGGAGCAGGAAGCCAAGGGTTCAAAAGGAGGACCCAGGAGTCTGGACAGCACTATGTTCAAGTCCCAAGGGGCGACCAGCTGCCGGATCTGCGGGTAGAGGTGTTCCAGCCCTTTAAGGAAGGAACCATCATAGGATGGGCGAAGAGGGACCCACCCGTGGGGGGGGGGGGGGGGGGGGGGGG